CATTACTACTATTATTCTTTCTCTCATTTCAGGTAATTGCAGAAAATCTGTCGGAAGAAGAAATTATCGGTTTGAAGGAGATGTTCAAATCCATGGACACTGACAACAGTGGAACAATCACCTTCGAGGAGTTAAAAGCTGGCCTTCCTAAACTTGGTACTAAGCTTTCCGAGTCCGAAGTGAGGCAGTTAATGGAAGCAGTATGTCTTCGTCCTTTTATAAATATCCTTCTCGATAATCAGTTAATTAACTGTGCTTTTAAGTAATTTAGTTTTAGAACTCCAATCTTACCGCGTGCAATCATTACTGATTAGTATAAGCATGATTAGCTTTGTGTAAATTCGAGTTCCATGCTACTTTTCTTGGTTGAAAGAAACTGGATCCTCGATAACTGAAGAAAAATGTAGAAACTGATAAGTTTTACAAGGTTAATAATGCATAATGTAGGTAAGCTGAAAGTATGCCATTGTTTTGTTTTGCAACACACCGTTTTAGAATCCAAGCATGGTATTGTTCTTCAAAGCTATCCATATAACCTGTTTGTTAATTCCTGAGGCCGATGTTGATGGAAATGGAACGATTGATTATATCGAGTTTATAACAGCTACCATGCACATGAATAAAATGGAAAGAGAAGACTTGTACACTGCCTTTCAATACTTTGACGAGGACAACAGCGGGTAATATGACCTGCGACCATGTATTCTATACAGGGCCGGTTCAATGAGTTTTAATGCCCTGGACGAGATAACAATTTTATGCCCCTATACTTGTATCGTATAATAGACAAAACATAAATAATTTTTTTTAAAACAAAACTGTAATAGAAATTATAGTCAAACAATATCAATACTAATACAAACCAAAACCTACAAGACTACAAATATCACCTAAAACGATGTCTTCGTGCATTTTTTGAAACAAAAACCTCTATTATTTTACGATAGGGGGACCTGGAACATTGTCTAGAGAAAAGGGATATGATCTCTTCATGCCAACCACCTACAAGTTGTAACCAAATTTACATAACATCAAAGGTTTAGAAGAGAAAGAACGATGCATTCCTGAACTCAAAACTTAGCTCAATCCGCTCATGCATATACTTTTTAAATGTGGTAGTTGGCAAATTCAAAGTTCGAATCTTAACATAAGTCCTTCTCTACCAGAAAAGTTTAACGAGGTAGTCGAAGAATAGGAAAATAGATTCCAGATGCTAAATACAAATCCCGGGCCGATTCGATACTACACTTCGAGGATGGGTTTATCATAGGTTTAGTTCATGTCAACCACCAAATTCACACACTATAGAGAAAGAATAAGCATTCCTAAGTGAACTCGAAACTCAAATGGTTCATGCAGTCATCTTCAAAAATTGGCATCTAATAAATTCAAAGTTCGAATCCAAGCATAAATCCTTCCCCTATTAGATAAGTTTAACCGAGTAATCTAAGAATAAGAGATGCTAAATGCGAATCTCGGGCCTATTTGATTCCACATTCGGATTCATTTGGCATAAAATTCAGAATATAAACATCAAGAATTTCACAACTAATAGCATAGTAGTAATGGAAAGAATTGAAGGGAAATTATGCACAGGTAATAAGTTTCCGACAAGTTTTCGGTAGGAAAAACCTAGATCAAAGGTAAATATGGTTTTGTAGTGTTATTGTTAGATTTATGATTTAAACAGATAACTACTTTGTTCAATCAAGTTCTTAAAGCAAGATCAGTCGTTGGAATCTCAAGATCAAAGTGCAAGTCAAGGTGCCAGTCGAGAACAAGGTACTGATTTTATATCAAACACATGTTACACATCATTAATCATAACATATACAAATAGATTAATCAACAACTAAATCATGATTTAGGAATACATAACAATAACTAAAAATCTCGAATGCCCTAAGCTTAATGTAGGAACGATTATCCAACAAGTACATTGATATATTTGTACATTGATTGGGTAATCTTATGAAAAAGAATGAGAAGGATGTGATTTTTAGTTCATTTTCATTGAAAGCTTGAAGCTGAAACACTAAAAGAATAAGATTTTCTTGCGTTATATAGATATATGTATCAGATGTGTTCAAAGAGTTCTTCACCATTAACAACTCCCCAATGCACACCTTCTAAGTTAAGAACCAAATGAGAAAACTACCCTGGTTGACAATGGAGTAGGAAACTACCGATGAAAGTGAAATACAACCTGGTACTCAAATATGTATAGAATTAATGAAGAAAAATGGTAAATCATTCAATTCCCAATCTGCTCAACCAGAGACTTCTTCAACTGGTTTAGGCGAGTAAAATCGTGTAACATAGAAATTAAGCCCTAGAAAACTGCCCCCAACATGCTGCCCTGGGCCGTCACCCATGTGGCACATGTGTTGGGCCGGCCCTGATTCTATATCCGTTTTCTTGTAATTTCGATTCCTTAATCAATGCTTCCCAACATATTTATTCATTGCTCGCTTCAGGTTTACTACAATGGAAGAACTAGAGCAGGCTCTCAGGAAGTATAATGTGGGTGATGAGAAAACAATAAAAGATATCATTACAGAAGTTGACACTGACAGGGTATGCTTCATTCTTTTTACAGACAGGTATCTATTGTTATTTCTTATACTTTTTCCATGATCTTCTCGCAGGATGGAAGAATTAACTACGATGAGTTCGTTGCGATGATGAGAAAAGGAAACACAGAGTTTGTTAGTATTCGACGACGCAAGTAAGATAAATGCAAAGTTTGCATGTCTCTTGGCTCTATTTCATGTTTTGGACTGGTTTGTTAATTTGTATATTTTTATTATGACCACAGTCATGTCTGATCTCGGTTCGAATGATAGGGATCATCAAAGTAGTCTTCAGGTTCTGAAATCATTGATGGTTTGTCTATTCCCGCCTTTGCAAGAGAAATGGAACAGATTGCCATGAAAATAGTATGAATGTTTTACGGGAAATAAACATATCCTTAATATGAATTCGAACTTCCTCAGATCGATGCAATGTTGATTAACGAAGGGAGAGGAGCATGATTTACAGTTTTTTGCTTGCTTGTACATTGCATTATTGCTTGAACATGACAGACGCATTGTTTAAATGGACTCAGTTGATTGTTCAGCAAGTAGAGCAACATTTCTGGCCTGCACATTTTCCTACCGACGATTGGCTACTCGATTCAACACTCTAAGCAAATCGCTGCCGCAAGTCCTCCCCGTGCCGGGTGTAGCTGCTGGCAACTAACAACTGCAGATGCTAAACCTTCAACCAGATAATTAATATGTTTCTCAGGGAATCCAATGTCAACACCATCATAGATTGTTCTTATATACTTACTTTTCAAGATGTACATTAAATAAATTACTTCTCATTTTTCAAGAGGTATTTGGACTAAAATATTCACTTTTAGGCGTTATTATGTTAAAAATCTCAAATAATTAATTATTTGCAAAAATAATTCCCAAGTAGCATTTTTTTGAAAAAAAAACTCCCAATCAGTTTTTCTTAGAAAAATGACCTCCAAATCTCGTGTTTTGCAAAAAGCAATTACAAAATCACGATTTACAAAATGTAAGTTTCATACATTTATAGTGCCATATATTAAATGAAGTTATCTGAAAAGTTAATAGATTTCGTGTTTTGCAAAACGCGAGGTCTTTAAAATGTGTTTTGTAGAACGTGAAATAATCCTACGTGGACAGTTTAGTGGTTATTTTTCCAAATAATTAATAATTGAGGGATTTTTTACATAAAATCGCCTAGTTTCAAACATATAGGAACCAAAGTGAACTTTTGGATGTAATAAAAAGATTAAATATTTATTTTTGTAGTAGAAGAACTAAAGATAAACTTTTATAATACATAGATTTTTAATAAACTCTAACCAATACCATCTAGTAACTATAAAAAAAATCATACTTAAATAAAAAATAATTGTGACATATAAGCTAATATAAGGTTAAATTTTGCAATTTATATGTGTTTAGGTTTAAATTTAGAATTAATTTTTTAAACTTTAATTTGATTAAATTTTAAAATTTTAGTTGTGATCCAAATAATATCAAAATAATATGTTTAAGTTGCAGCGGTTAAAATTGATCAAATTTGAGAATAAGGATTAAATTTACAATGTATACATATTATCGTGATTAAGGGACAATTTGGTATAACTTTTGAAAATTGATTTTTAAAAATGCTGTAGAAATTAATTTTTAAAAGTGTTGTACATAAGTGTAGTTTAAAATTTAACTGTTTGGAATTGATGTTAAAAAATGAGATTAAAAAAATATCCATTATAGATATTATGTTATAAATTAAAAATATAAAAAATACAAAAAAATATATATAACTATAATAAAAAATATTTTATAATAACTCGCTATTAATATTTTAATATATAAATCATGAATTTTATTTATTTTTAAGTAATTGATATAAATTATTAAGTAATAAATTATTTTTTAAGGATGTTAGTATTAAATTAATAAAATAAAAAATAAATGCATAATTGAGTGGAGTCCATGCATTAGTAATGGTAAAATTATAATTTGATTCGGAACGCAAAGTTGAAAATGATAAAAGCTAGAAATCCTAGCTTTTATAATTGGTTTGAAACCACCGTTTCCAACGTTTTTTTCCATTTTTTACTCGTTTAGCATTAATTTTGCAGTTAAAATGGAATTTTTAGCTAAAAAAAACTTTTAGGAAGCATTTCCAAATGGACCATAATAATAAAATTTGGTTTAAAAGATTTAAGTGCTACCTTTTAGCCTAAACTATAGGACTAAAATGATAAAATTAAAGTATAAAGATTAAATTACTAATTTTCATATAATATAGAGTCTGATAAAAAAATATGACCTAAATATAATCCATAGAAATAAAGAAAACTGACTTTATGATCTTACAATTAAAAAATATATATATTTTATTTAAATTTGATCTTTTTTTTTTGTGTGGTGTTCCAACTTAAGTGCTATCTTGGTTAATGAAGATCTAAAGAAAAACGAAAAGGAAACAGAGATTTTGATTACTTAGAAAATTCACTCAGCACCTTCTTCTAGGGTTTTAAACAGTACAGAGACAAGAAGAGCATCATCGGCAAAAGCTTGCAAATTATGGTAAGTGCTTGAAGTTATAAAGTCACAATTTTCTTTGGTTTTCACTCGAGATTTTTTTTTTACACAAAACCCAATTTATGCTTTTTACGAAGAACCCATTTAAGAGTTTGTTGAGATTTCTATATTAGTTTTCACAATTTATGTTTTTGGTGTCATTTTAAATTAATAGATCAGCTGTGATCTACTGTAGGAATTTGAAAGCATGTGGATTCAATGTGGGGTTTCATTTTTAATGAATGTTTTTTGTTTGATCATCTAATAGATCATGCAATCCGTTTTGTGTTCAAAGCAGGTTGATAGAAGATATCAATGCAAAGATGTGCTCCTCTTAGCTTATCAGAGTTTTGGTGTACTCTTTGGTGACCTGACTATTTCACCACTTTATGTCTTTAAAAGTACATTTTCTGGGAAGTTGAGTAATTACCAGTCTGAAGATGTCATCTTTGGGGCGTTATCCTTGATTTTTTGGACTTTGACATTTTTTTCCTTGTTCAAACATGTCGTTATTTTGTTAAATGCAGATGATAATGGTGAAGGTAAGGCTTTACTTTTTTATCATCTTTACAAGCTGTTATATGTTTAACTAGTGATAAATCTTTTGGGGGCCATTTTCAGGAGGAATTTTTGCTTTGTACTCGCTCCTTTGTAGGCACGCAAAGTTTTCTTTGCTTCCTAATCATCAAACATCAGATGAAGAGCTTTCTACATATCATGATCCCCGCTACTCGTGCAGAAATCCACAGTCATCATCCCTCAAAAAGTTTGCCGAGAGGCATAAAAAGGCAAAAACTGCTTTGCTTCTTCTAGTTTTGTTTGGTACTTGCCTGGTTATGTGTGTTGGCTTCCTCACACCAGCAATGTCCAGTATGTGCCTTTGTTTTCCTATTCAATTTTATGTTGTTGATTTCATTAATCTCATAACATTTACTCGTGCTGATCATCAATGCTCAATTTATATGCTAATCATTATTATTTGCAATTTCAGTTCGTTCATCCATCGAAGGGCTCAAAGATCGATCAAACAATCTGCATTATGGTTAGTACAGCTCTCTGGAAAACAATATTGATCTTTTAACCTGTTTGTAAGTTTTTAGTATCTTTTATGGAATTAGTGAGTACCAAGCATATGAAGTTTTGGGCAAGTGGTGTCTTGTTAGACATTAAACTGATTTCTTATACCAAATACAATGTTGTAAAGTTATAGCAGCTAAACAGGACTGGATCTAGTCTTAGTTCCTGAAGTTGTCATCAATGAAAAATATGTTGCTGTATGAAAAAGACATTGTGATGGGGTTATGCCTTTTTTCCTCACATATTCAAAAAATTTCGATCATAGCTTCAGATATTGCCATTTGACCTGCTATTAGTTTTCTATACACAGGTGTGGTGCTTGTCATAGCCTGTCTTTTGTTGGTTGGCCTCTTTGTTTTACAGCACCGTGGCACCTATAGTGTGGCCTTCATGTTTGCCCCTATAGTGATTTTATGGTCATTGTCCATTGCGGCTATTGGTCTTTACAATATCCTTAAGTGGAATCCGAGGGTTTACAAGGCCCTTTCTCCCTTTTATATCTACACATTCTTTAGGGACACTGGATATGATGGTTGGATTTCTCTTGGAGGAGTTCTTTTCTGTATCACTGGTAAACTCAAGATTTGGTATTCAATAGAAGTTCAGTTGACCAGTATCCATTTTTTCTAGATTCATGCCTGCTTTTCTTGTCAACTTCAGGAACTGAAGGTATGTTTGCAGACCTTGGCCAATACACAGCTGCATCAATAAGGGTATGCAAACCAACAGTTAAAGTGAATTTAATGCATTGACTGCTTCTTCCTGGCATAGTTAAGAAATAAGAGCACTTGAGGCCAAAGTTTTATTCTGGCTTTGGCTCATTGTGGAAAGAAAGGAAATATGTTTCATAAATGCATAACCAGAGTACTGTTTAACTGTTCAGTTTTGAACTAACTGAGCGGATTGATGAGGATTATGTTGTAGTTTTCCTTTCTAGCATGAAGAAAGAAGGTTTAGCTGAGGGAATTCAAGCCTGATGGTCATTTTGCCTGAGTAATTTAGTTGCCCCTATGTCATATAACCGCATTCTACTTTTCATATTCACTTTCAATGGGACCTTTTTTGAGGAAGGGGTTAACTTGCAAGAGTTCATGTGCACAGTTACAGTTGTTTTTGGAAATTGTTGGCATCTTGCAAAATAGAATGATTATGGTTGTCACACAGGAAACTTGGCTGAATGGTTTAACTTGTGGTTGTGTAAACCATGCCATGCATTTGAATAAAAAGGGAGGCAAAAAGGAATGTTTGGTGTTAATTCCATGGTTGTTTTATATTTGTTTGTCCAACGGGAAATATGAACTTTTTTCCATGATCTATAGTGCAGCTATTCTTACTTTTTGTCGAATATTGAAGTTCATGCATCAAAATTACAGTTTTGGCATCTAACTAAGTCTTTTGAGTTTATTCATTCTACTGTTAATGCAAGATTAAGTGTTCTGATCAACAGCTTTCTATAAGTAGCTCATTAGTTGGTTTGTGGCGTTTTTCATATAATTCGTTATATTGTCCAAGAAAAACTCTGAAAGCTTGTTTTTATATGCAGTTATCCTTTGTTTGCATAATTTATCCGTGTCTAGTGCTTCAATACATGGGGCAGGCAGCTTTTATCTCAAAGAATTTTGCTGCAGTATCCACGAGCTTCTATGCTTCCATTCCAGGTAAGCTTCTTAGTTTTTGCTCTTCTAATTCAGGATTATAAGATATTCTATTTGCAGCATGTCTAATGTTTTTCATACCATTCTTACTTTAAGAAGTTCTAAGCACAATCCAAAAGACCAAAACAGTTCTGGATGTTAATTAGTTGGTTCTTTGTGAAGTTTATCATATTATGCTTAAACCATCTCATCAATATCCTTTCATTAAGATGTGTAATCATACAGTTCTTCTAGAATATCTGGACTGTCAGCCACAATAATTCTTACATAAGGTCATTGTTAAACAAGAATGATATATAGCCTTTGCCTATAGTTACTTCAAAATTTATTTTGTTATTATTTTTTACAGAATATTCTTGCCATGTTTGTAGATGGCTTGTTTTGGCCGGTTCTTGTGATGGCAACTTTGGCTGCAATCATCGCTAGCCAATCTATAATCTCTTTCACATTCTCTATCGTGAAACAATGCTATGCCATAGGATGTTTCCCTCGTGTCAAAGTTGTACATAAATCGAAATGGAACCGTGGTCAGATATACATTCCGGAGATCAATTGGGTCCTTCTGATTCTCTGTCTGGCAGTCACAGTTGGTTTTAAAGACATAAATCATTTGGGAAATGCCTATGGTAAGTTGCATTCATTCACATTTTACTCTCTAATATTGGATTAAAATGTAACCCATCTGATCTGCTGTGATTGATATTATATTTTCCTTAAGAAGAGTAACCATTTATCCAAGAAAAAGGAGAAAATGCATTGTCTTGGCTGACTAATTTGTTTAGTAGATATGACTATTAGTTGTGCATATTACATTGAGAAAGTTCAGGATTTCTTGGCATCTGATGATCACTTAAGTCAATGAGACAAATTGTGTCACTAACATTGGATAGGATGAAGGTGGGTAAGTTGCATTAATAGATGGATTTTGTGCATGTATAACTGTAAATATTTGTTAAAATGAGTTCATCATTGAGGAAATTATATTTTGTATGTTCTTGAGTAACTTTTATGATCATAGTCAATGGTATTTCAGATATAAATTTATGCTTATGCAGGATGGATACTCTTCAAACTTGCTATAACACTAGTCCGAACCATTGTTTATAATACTTTCTCTTTTTATCTTTTTCTTTTTGATTTATTGCTTTGCATTATTTAGATCTTTACTGTTCAAATCTGATAATATGAGTGCACTCTTTATTGCAGGACTTGCCTGTATGTCCGTAACATTTGTGGCGACATGGTTGACAGCATTGTTAATTAATTTTGTGTGGTGTCAGAGTCTTTTGCTCGCTCTTCTATTTGGCCTTGTCTTCGGGTCAGTCGAGATCATCTTCCTAGCATCGTCTTTTGTAAAAATCCCTAAAGGTGGATGGATTCCTCTCATTCTCTCTGGGATCTTCATGCTAGTCATGTACGTCTGGCATTATGGTTCAAGGAAGAAGTATTTATATGATTTGCACAACAAAGTTTCCATGAAACAGATCCTCACAGTGGGTCCTAGTCTCGGAGTTGTCCGTGTCCCTGGGATAGGCCTTATTTTCACTGCGTTGGTAAGTGGAGTTCCTGCCACATTTACCCGTTTCTTAACCAATCTGCCGACGTTTTATCAAGTGGTTGTCTTTGTTTGTGAGAAGACTGTTCTTGTACCATATGTCCCTCAGCAAGAACGGTATCTCATAGGCCGCATCGGTCCCAAATCTTTCCGGATGTACCGATGTATTGTTCGAAATGGTTACAAAGATGTGCAGAAGAATGAAGATGATTTTGAGAATGACCTTGTCATGAGCGTCGCGGAATTTATCCAACTAGAAGCTGAAGGTTGCGGAACCCTAGAAGGATCTGTCGACGGGCGAATGGCTGTTGTACGGACATCTGAAAAGTTCGGCAAACGGCTAGAAATATCCGAACTCGAGCGAAATGGAGAAGCTAGCAGTTCAATGCCCCCTACCATTTTGAATAGCAGCAAATCACTCGTATTGCAGCACCTGCAATCCACATACGAGATGGAATCGCCGGGGTATACCCTAAGGCGGCGGGTACGGTTCAATCTGCAACAAGATATGACATACAAGGATCTGAATGTGAAGGATGAGCTGTCGGAGCTAGTTGAAGCAAAGCAATCTGGGGTTGCATATGTGTTGGGGCACTCTCATATAAAAACAAAACTGAATGCGCCCTGGTTGAAGAGATTCTTTATCCACGTGGCCTACTCATTCTTGCGTAAAAACTGCAGGGCTCCGGCTGTGGTTCTCAACGTTCCTCAGACATATTTGATTGAAGTTGGGATGAACTACTACCTGTAGGAACCACTTTCTTTTTCAATAATTTGTTTATATATATTTATATATATGTGTGTGTGTGTATATATAATTTTAATAAGAGATCCTAAGAAGGTTTTTAGCATAGAAATCATTTTTAGTAGCTTCTTATAACAATTTACCTTACTATTATTATTATGATTATAGGAAATTATTATCATTTTGTATGTTCAACTTTATGCATGTTAAAAGACGTTTCTTGATTCCTTTTATATGATATTTTAGGATTACTTTTCCAACAGATTAATAGTGCAACACTTATTTATGATTCATATGATTTTAGAATTGTTCAACATCTCATGATAACATTTGTGAAAAGATTCAGTGTTAAGTCACTAAATTAAAAATTTATTAAAATTTTAAGGTAAAGTAGACAAATGATTCCCTGACTATAGCGTATTGTTTTGTTGAGTCCCACGACTGTTAAGAGTTACAAAATAATCTTTCGACTATAGGGTATTAATTTTTGAGTCTCTCGACTATTAAAAGTTATAAAATGATCTTCTGACTATTCCTTATGTTCCAAACTAGTCATTGTTGGTTAAAAAAATTAACGGTCTTTGAGGTAGACGTCAATATGTTGACTGAGATATGATAATCATTTGAAATTATGATGTCAGATTTTATCATATCTCAACCAACAGGTTAACGTCCAACTAAAAATGCGATCAATTTTTAACGAAAAAGAAGAGTTTGGAATCTAATGAATAGTCATGTACTAATTTTGTAACTTTTAATAGTTGAGGGACTCAACAAAGCAATACACTATAGTCAGGGAACCATTTTGTAACTTTTAATAGTCGGATGAATCAATAAAATAGTATGTTGTAGTCAGAGGACAATTTGTGTATTTTACCCAAAATTTTATTAAAACTAATATTTAACAAAACACTTACATCCATTAATTGGTCGAATGGTCAATAATATTAATGTTGTCTTAACTTGTGTAAGTTTAAATATTGATATTTACCTTAAAAATGTAATACCTATCTTTTTAATAAATAAAAATCTAACAAAAATACCAAATAAATTTACTAAGTTCTCTGAAGGAAATTACCAAAGAGAATATAAAAATCGCAAAAGACTTCAAAATTACAATGGATGAAGTATAAAATATAGAACTGGAGTATAATTCAGTTTATTACACGTTGGGTGAACCGTAGATTCTACATTTTCCACTTCTAACATCTTTGCAGCCTTCAACAAGGGCATTGAAAAGCTCAATCTGTGCATCAGGTGGAGCTGTTGTAACAACACCACCAATTTCCTATGTTATCAAAGTGATTTGACTCTCCATATTTCATAACCTGAATTTTAGAATAATAAATAAATTATTGAAATAAAAATATACTGTCAAAACTAAGAAATATACTATGTTCGATTAATTAATACATTGTTTAACCTATTATTAAATGATCTCAATGATTAAAATGAGTATTATTTTTGACTGAGAGATCTCAAATTCGAGCAGCATGCAGGAGTGTATGTGTGTTGTCAATGACTAAGAAAAAATCTGAATATATATTATCTTATAATCATTGACTAATAAAATAAAAGAATTTACTACTGTTCTTTAAAAGAAAAACACAGACGAGAACAAGTATAAAAATTAAATGAATATATAAAAAAAAACTTTCATGGTGTATGGATTACCCAATAAGAACATGGAACCAAAAATACACAAGCAATTTTAAAAAAGCAAAACGGATAATAGGATCATATTTTGATTTGTACAATTACAAGTTTTATTCAATGACTTCAAGAAATCTCCACATCCTAAAGTGGAGTTAAATGGTAAGCTTGTAAAAGTAAGGTATTGATTTGCAAGTTTTTAAAAGAGTAGGGATTTATTATGTAATTAATCTTAAAACTAAGGTATTCATTTTTCTTTTTTCTCCTTCTTTCTCCTTTTATTTTGAGTAAAGTATAGTAATGGTCACTGAACTTTTCTAAAGCTTTCATTTAAGTCCCTCAACTTTTAAAACTTGCAATACAATCCTCCAATATTTTGTCTGTTTGCAATATGGTCCCCGCCGTTATACTACTGTTAGTACATTTGCAATATGGTCACTGAACTTTTTAGGCGCTTGCATTTAGGTCCCCCAAATTTTAAAACTTGTAACACAATCTTCAATTTCATTCTAAACCCCAAATTCCTTTTCGATCTCAAATTTCCTTTTTCGCTTCTCTCTTCTCATTTTCAGCGTAACTTTTCAGTCGGGAATGCATGAGAAATTCTAATCTAACTTTGAATTATGTGGAGGTGTTGACTTGAATAAGGGTCCATTGAGAGAATACCAGACCAAGGGACTATCGGGTCCATAAACTATTCAAGGTGTAATGTTAGATACATGTCATCTCAGGTGAAGCATAGATGTTCGATGAAATGCTTGTGAGAAAAAAATGGGGTTAGAAATGCAGAGTTGACAAATACTACTAAAATGAACTAAGTATCATTGTTGAAAGTCACCAACAAAGCTGGAATTATTTTGTATAAATGGCATATAATAATTTCTTCGTTTGATCATTGTGGTTAAAGATTTTCCAACAGATGATCAAATATAATGAAATCTCATACAATGCATTCACCTCTCAGTCTCTTTCACTCACATGCACTATCGTTTGGTTTTTGTTATTCAATTTTCCGCCATGTAAAATTGTAATCCCAAGCAGTGCTCTATCTTTCAGCTTTTTATTTATAAAGAAAAAATAGAGGAAGAATTGCTAGAACGCAACACTGATTACGTTTATTTCTTAGCCTCTCCCCTCACTTGCAAGAAGATATTTTTTTCTCTTTTCGTCTATCCGGAAGTAAGCTTTTCTTCTTTCGCACTTTCCCATTTTCAGCTCGCATTGTGTGTTTTTTGTTGAAATTTTTATGTTTCTGGAACTGCATGTCAATGATCTGGATATTCAGTGTTAGTTTTGAACAAAAACCATCTAATTTTCTTTCTTTCTTCTTAATCAAAACTTTTAGTACTCCTTATGAAAGATATTCAATCCATCAGAATATAAGTGAAAGAGGGTCTTAGGCTAAATATTTTTGATCTTTTGTTTTGTTTTTCTTTAAATTAGGGAATTGGTTGTGAGTATCGACATAGTGAAATCGCTAGTCTCAATCCGAGAGATTGTTGGTACTAGTTTACTGGGAATTGTATTGATCCGACCTATGGTTTTCGGCGTCCTATGAGCTCGTATTCATTTTAATAAGTTCATGTTGATTATGGGACTGATATATCGTGAACGAATTGGATTTTTTACATGTTTTGGAAATTTTACAGTTGAATTGTATTGAATTATAGCTTTAGAAGACAATTATGCATGCACACAACTCGATTGGCATCATGACAGAGTAGTATATTTGGAGTAGCTACTTGACCCTGTCATGATGCCTTTCGAGTTGCGAAATAGACTGAGAGGTGAATGCGCTATTTGGGATTTCATTATATTTGATCATATGTTGGAAAATCTTTAACCACAAGGATGAAACGAATAAATTATTATATGCCATTTATACAAAATAATTTCAGCTTTGTTGGTGACTTTCAACAATGATACTTAGTTCATCTTAGTAATATTTGTCAACTCTGCATTTCTAATCCCATTTTTTTCTCACAATCATTTCATCGAACATCTATGTTTCACCTGAGATGACCTGTATCTAACATTACACCTTGAATCGTTGATAGTTCCGATGTCGGGTCTTCTATCAATGAACCCTTATTCAAGTCAACACCTCTACATAATTCAAAGTTAGATTAGAATTTCCCATGCATCTCCGACTGAAAAGTTACGCTGGAAATGATAAGAGAGAAGCGAAAAAGGAAATTCGAGATCGAAAAGAAATTTGGGCTTTATAATGAAATTGAGGATTGTGTTGCAAGTTTTAAAAGTTGGGGGACCTAAATGAAAGTTCCTGAAAAGTTCAGTGACCATATTGCAAACATATTAACGGCAGTGTAACGGTAGGGACTATATTACAAACGAACTAAATGTTGGAGGACTGTATTACAAGTTTTAAAAGTTAGATGACCTAAATGAAAGCTTTAGAAACATTTAGTGACCATTATTATACTTTACCCTTTTATTTTTTATGTTTCAACAACATTTAGCCTCTCTCTATCACTTTGTTTCTCGATTTTACTCATATCAGGTATTTAAATAGCGTTCGCGGTCGCGTATTTGGTCTCGTCGCGTTTATTGCGGTTGCGGACACAACAGATGCCATCGCGGTCACTGCAGGTGTCGCGGTCGTGAATTATTTTAAATTTCACACAACTTATCATAAAACATAATAATTATAATTATAAGGAGTCATTTTTAATGATTTTTAGAATGTTTTCTAAGCTAAAATGACATATATAATATAGTTTAACCATATAAAAAACTTTAAAATTCCGGTAATAGGATAAAATAATTAATTCATGATAACATTGTGAACACATTATTATTTAAATTACTGAAATTAGGATTAAATTAAACAGAAATTAAAGTTTACATTGTAAACTATATATTAAATTATAAATTTTAAAAAGTGAAAGGATGAAAAATTAATATATTCCTTACATATATATTTTATAACTTACTTAAAAAAATGGGCCCAAAATATTTTGTTTTAAACCTAATAACCCTAAAATATTTTAATCCTAAACTATATCCCTCCCCCACCCCGCACGTTCTTCAGTCTCTCCTTTCTCCCTCATTTTTTCCTGCTCTCTTCTCTCAACATTAAATATCAAAAACAAGAAAAAAACTCCAAAACCATAACATGCTCTAGCCTAAATCCAGAGCGTGAATGATTTTCTCTTTTTCTTCAACAATCTTAAGCTCCGTCGAAGATTCCTTTCTCCGATTACAGTGAACTCTACTTCGACGAGACCCACAAAACAGGTTCATTCTTCCTTTTTACTTTTCCATTTTCTTTTTCCTTTTGAATCTCAACATGCATGTATAAAAAACGTGAATTTGGAAAGAAAGAAAAAAATACAGCTTTGGTGACGATGAACACAAAAAATCATCTTTCCTTAAGTTTTTTTTGGAGTAACGGTTGGAATAACAGTGATTGCATCCCGAATAACGGTGATTGCATCCCGTTATCGGCGCAATCGTCCGTTTCCCGTTAAATTACGGGCGCGATCAACCACAATCGGTGTGAATCCA